TTTCCCTCGTTATTCACAGGGTATTACAGAGGATCGGAACCCTAAAAGCAAAAAACGAAAACAGCTACGTAGAAAAAGCATTGAGGGAATTTTTCCTGATTATGTCTCAAAATTCAAGAAGCAAAGGGAAAAAAGGTTTGTAAATCCTTTAACCCCCGGTACCGGCAGGACCTTGCTCTTGCCAGGGAGGCACAGTGCCACTGAACTACAACCCACCACCACCACCACCAAAGGTTTGTAAATCTTAAAAATGACAAACTTGCCCAGCCCCTGCCTACAAAAACAAAACAGAGAGTAAACCTCCGGAAAAATGCAAGGAGTCTTAACACATGGAGACATGATCTGCGTGGCTCGTCCTTACGCAAACTCACGCTGAGGTCCCGCTCTTCAGTGCGTAGGGACCCGAGCCTGAGCACCATGCACGGAGAACTCCATGAGCCCTGACCAAGGAATGTGGGGCACACGCTCCCCCACGCTGCAGATAACTGTACAGAATGATAAAGCTCAGGCTGAAACCGCCTACTGATTCAATCCCTCTTTTTGTTTCTTTGGTGGTGCGGGGGATGGAATTTAAGGCCTCGCACGTGCTAGACAAGCTCTACCACTGAACCAAAGTGGGCCCAACAATCCCACTTGTAAAAATGTATTTCAAAGATAAGCTACAAAAACAAATGTTGGAAGGATACATTTATAAAATTGTGTAATTTCACATTTATTTGTAATCACAAAAGACTGGCAATAAAATGTCCATCAATCAAAGAGCTGTTGTTACAAAGGAGGGCAACATCGCTAGATGCTAGAGGTCTCCCAACAGGCCTTATCCACAGTTTGGATCGCCATAAGGTTAAGAAGTCTGAGGAAGCAGCACCTAAATACTGAAAGGAAGGAAACGACCCATGTTTCAAATTAGTGGCAAAACTACGAAGATAAGTGGTCTCCACCACACCTATGCTACAGTTTAATGAAAATCCTTAAAACATTTCCAAGAGCATTCTGCTGGTGGTAGCGTTGATCTTCCCACCTCTAATACTGTTGTATGACTGCATCGCAAATTAGGTAAACACCGGCCTGCCCCACTTGATGAGAAGTGCGTTCTGGATGACTGTGTGGTGGGCACAGTGGAGGGCACAGCCCCGGCACACAGAATCACTACGCACCACAGGCAGTCAAGGCAGCAGGGCGAGTAGCTGTACATCTACACTAAGACAAGCAGCACAAATACGAGGCGATGGTTTTTCAGGACCTGTAACCCTAGGGGACACAAACCTCGTGTATTCATCTAGTGTCCCCTCATGATGCAAACCTATAAATAATTATGTTAATGTCATTGAACACTGATATGAACGAGGCCACAGAAAGAAAAAATGCAAATCTCAAGATATAGCCAAGTTTCTCTAGCATGCTGGAGTTTGACTGGAACTATGTACATGAATTATGATAAATATTTCCTTTTTTGTTGTTTGTTTTTTGAGACAGGGTCTCACTATGTAGTTGAGACTGACCTGGAACTATGTAGCCCAGGCTGGTCTCGAACTCACAGTGATCCTCCTGCCTCAGCCTCCCGAGTGCTGGGATTACAGGCATGCGCCACCACACCCGGCTGAATATTCCCATTTAAAAAGCCACATAGCTGTTCTCTAAAAAGGCCAGTAAACAATGGCCAAGTCAAAAGCAATCAGCAATCTTAGTACTCAGGATACAGTCTCTAAATACCATTTCCATTAAAAGTAACCAGAGTTCTTAGAAACAACAACTCCAAGATCTGGCTGGGACTTGTACAGTAGAAAGGCAAATGAGAATGTAGCCCCAAGCACCTGGTGGATGCCAAGCTGCAGAGGCTCCTGGGAGCCAAACATGGGAGAACTCAAGCGTTAGGAAGGGCAGTCACCTTCCTGGGTTTCAGGGCTGAAGATGGAGTCCCAGGGCCTTGCACAGAGCAGCATGAGCTCTACCACTAAGCCACCCAGCCCCTAATTGTTATTCGTTAGACTGAAACACCGTTTTAAAATTTATGACACTGTAACAATTCGTAGATAAGAGAAAAAAACTTTGAAAGCCTGGGTAGGCATCTTTGGATAAAGCCAGGAGGGCAGCTCATTATTTTAAAACTTTAAATAAAGAATCATGCCTCCCAGTGGAAGTATGCAATATTTCTTGGTGAACAGAACGGAGCCAATTCTGACCGCAAGTCCAGTTACCAATTCCCAAGAAACATAAAGAGCCATAGATGAGCTGAGGGTGTAGCTCAGTGGTTGAGAACTTGCCTAGGATGTGTGAGGCCTGGGTTCTATTCCCAGCATAAAAGAAACACAAGAAGGAAGGGAAATGGGGAGTAGAGAGAGAAAGAGGAGGGAGCTTCCTCTTTCAAGCAAGAGAAAAGCACAGAAGTGAAAAAAGAAGCATGTTAAGTTATTCAAGGGAGCTGTCGGTCACAAAATCTGGACCACACTTTGCCCTAGAAGCCATACAAACATTTCCCTCAATGAAGACCACAGCAGAGGAGAAACCCACAGACACGGTAACCGGTACGTGACTTGGCCCTGTCAATGAAAGGGTCAGACAAGAGACAGACTGCTTTTCAGCTGGAGAACTTCGGCCAGCTCAAACAGCAAGAAGGACAAGGGGGTGGGATCTGACCACTGAACCCACAGGTCTCACCAGAGCCTGAGCTGTGGGATGGGGCAGACAGAGGCCCCAGGGAGAGGGCGTCAAGGCGTCCCCGGGCAGGGCGAGAATGAGGAGTGAAGGGAAGAACAGCTGGACGGAAAGAGCACCTGCCCACTGCCTGGTTCCCGGAGCTGACTGTGGTGGTGATGGGCATTCCAGCCGTCCAGAGGGAGGGGACACAGGAAAGGCACAGCCCCTGGGGCCTGCAAATGTGCTTTATGTCATTAACCACCAGGAAACAAGCGGCTCACAAGAGAAGCCACTCACGAGGTAGAAGTGAGGCTGCCGGCCCCTTGGAGGATGGCTGGGCACCCTGACCATGCAAGCTGGTTTCACTGATCAAGAATTTAAAAGAAGTTTCACAGGGGCAGGGGATTTGGCTCAGTGGTTCTGCCACCCGCCTCGCAAGCACAAGGGCCCAAGTTTGAGCCCAGGTACCAAAAAACAAACAAACAAAACAAAACAACACGATGTAAAAGAAGTTTTCATCAGTGGTGGCCTGGAGCAGTTTGGGGGCTGTTACTGGGAAAGCTGCTGATAGAAATCTGAATGAAGACCAAGCTCTCAGCCTCCGCGGCTGCAGTGTTTGCTTGAGCTCCTGCATTTGTAACACACTGAGCTGCATCCGGAGATGGGTACATTGTATGCAATTTACACCTGATTAAATTTGACTTCAGTTGCACATCAATCCATGACGACATTCACACCTCATCAAGAGCCTGATTTGAACATTCTACAATGTGGGCATGGGATTTGAGACCAAATGTTAAGGAATCACTGGTAAGCTTGGTGATGGAACCCTGAGTTCACTCTACTATTCTCTGCTTTTCTGAAAGATTTAAAAAATTACATTTATTTTTAGCTAGTATACAAAAACATAAAATGTATGTATTTCAGGGGTAGGTAATGTGCTGTTTCACTATGTGTACACACTGCTTAATGTTTAAATCAGATTAAACATCCTATCACTTTAAACATCTATCGTTTTCATATAGTAAAACAAAATTTCCTGCAGTATTTTGAAATTTATTATCATTGTTAACAGCCACCCTATTTATTCTCTTTGCTTTTGCTTATTGGAAGCTTTCTATGATAAAATACCCAAAAGTAGCTTAAAAATTAAGGTGTCGCTGCAAATATCTGTGGGATTCCTTGGAGAAGAGGAGCTGTCATGAGATCCCAGAGAGAGATCCGCCAGGCCAGCAGGGGACTTCGGGCCAAGGCTCCTAGCTGAGACACAGGGCTGCAGCAGAACAAACACTGCAAGGTGAGGAACGGGCGGTGGGCTAAGCCTCCTCTAGCCCTGAGATTCGGACTGCTCAGCCAGGCTCTGCACGTGGCCTGAGGCACAGGCCTTCCAGCCCAGTCTGCAAACACAGCTGTTCACTCATCCGGTTCACAAATGCTCCAGATCCCCCCCCACCTTCACGTCTGTTTCACAAGCCCTTCTCTCAAGCCTTTCAGACATCAGAATTATGCTTCATACCTCTTAGAAATCGCATTCCTAGCAAAAGGTCTGGAACATACTGTGCCACCAAGACACAGTGTGACAATCCCTTTCCAGTTGGCAACTTATGACTGTGCACCCCTTCTTGCCATCCCCTCCACAGCACCCTGAAGTCATCTGCTGTACCGGCACCCTGTCCCTCCAGGGGTCCAGGAGAGCGCCCTGTGAGTTCTCAGAAACGTGAGGAATGCGGAATCCTCCACATCGGGAGGCTTCTACATTTCTCAGGTGATGATGACGCAGCCTGACAATCAAATGATGACTTAGGCCTGAAACTGCTGTCACTGGAAATGTCAACGGCACCCATCTCATACACCAGGTGCTGCCACCAGCATGGACCAGCAGCCACAGAACTGGAAGACCACTTCGTGTCCCCTTCTCCTGAGCTCAGGCCTTGAGGTCTTTCCCCTGCTCTTGGCTGCCTGAATGAGAAGGAAGAGGGGATGAAATCCTCTCAAGTGACTCTACATTCCCAAGCCACTCGATTCTCATGCCAATCCGAGTAGGCACCATCTACGTTTTCCAGGTGAGGAGGCTGAGATTCAAAGGTGAGTAATTTCCCCAATCTTCTAAATGATGACTCCGGGATTTATGGCTCAAAACCCATGCACATTACAAACAATGAAACCCCTTTCCGGCATAAGCCTCGGATCATCATCACCTGCAGGACCTGAGGACCTGCTGCGGTTGGGGAGGACGCTCTCTCCAGCCTGACCCCTGGAATGAGTGCCAGCTTCTGTCCACTTGCTTAGTCCAGCGGCTGGTCCACAGCCCACTGCCCACACACCACCAGGGGGCGTTGGGCCCCCAGCTGCTCAGGGCCAGTCTGCCTCCCTAGATCAGGACTTGAGATCAGTCTGTTTTCCACTCAGGGACTTTCTAAGAAACAGATCTGCCCAAGCCCTGGCCTGCTTCAGACCTTCGAAGGACCCCACACCGGCACAGGACTTCCCTCATGATGCGTCTCCGGCCCCAAGCCCACTCAAATGTTCACACCCCCCAGCCACCCCCAATCCCGTCCTGTGCCCTCTACCCCCGAACGTGTTCCTTCTGTTGGCCTGCCCACTTCCTTAGCCCTCCGGGCCAGCCCATCAGTTCAGCAGCAAGCTGCTGGTCAGTCTCTGACCCGTCCTGGACTGCTTGAAGCAGATCTGAGCCACCTCGCACCTCGTCATCTTCCAGCCACGGGAGCCACTCCACACCCCAGCCAGATGCTTCCCTCCCTGTCCACACTTTCCCTGCCAGTCTGGGGGTAGTGGGAGGAGCTGTGTCTCCCTGGTGTGCACCCTGCTGCCCTGCACACAGCAAAGCCTTCTCGGCCTTCAGGAGGATCCCAGGATAGCACAGGCTCTGCTCCTTTCCGGAGCTGCTGCAAAGGGTCTGGCGGTGTTATCACAGACATCCCAAATTCTCCAGTCAAGTTCAAAACTCGCCTAAAAATGACAATGCCAAAGATACCCGGCAGGCATCAACTTACCATCTTGCTGAGGTAAGGCAGGAAGGAATGCAGCATCAGGACTGCGCTTTCCAAAGGGCTGGTGTGGGCCAGCTCCTCTCGCTGGCTCTCCACACCCCCAGGGTCAGCTCCGGAGCCTTCTGTCACAATCATCCCTAAAACCAGGGGAAATAAGCACTCGGCTTTAGGTTACAGGAGAAGAACTGCCTGCCAAGTTTAAATATTCACCAAGTGTCCACTATCAGTCCCTGTGCCTGGAATTCCCTGAGGACAGGCACAGGGGGAAAAGCTTGAGAATCCTGACCACAACTGCCTGGCAGCCTCAGCGGGATCCTCTCAGAGCACAAGGGCTCTGCAGGAACGTGCCCAATGGAGACTGGGCTGTATTAGCCAGGTCTGGCTTCTCCTGTTTTTGCCTCACATCTTTTTTTTTTGGTACTGGAAATTGAACTCAGGACCTTGTGCTTAAGAGGCAGAAGGTGGCACCATAAGCTACATCCCTGGCCCTTGACCCACCCGTATCGTCAATCTGAGGTTCCAGCTTTCAGCTCCTGCATTTCTTATTATTCTCCCCTCTGACTCCTGCCTTCCACAGCAATGTCCTGGAAGGTGTCATTGAAAGCTTTGCTGGGCTGAGCGGTCAGCAGTTCTACCTGGGGCTTCGTCCTCCTCGGGATTCAGTCTCTGGGTCTCGGCAGAGGCACCTGCAGCCCCGGTCTCCTGCTGACCCCAGGGGCCAGGCTCTTCGAGGAGCTTCACGCTCGCATCTGCGGTGTTCTCTCTCAGGAAAGGATCACCAGGGGGTGACTGAGTCTCTGTAGGGAGAGGAACCACTCAGCTGCTGCACACAGCCCCAGCCTGCAGCCCCGCACCGGCACTTGGAGCACAGCTGGTGGGAAGCAGGATGACCATCTGCATTGTCAAGCTTATAGGGAGCCTCGCTCCTGTGTGTTCCCTACACACACCTCTACGGGAGGGACTTCGGTAACTGACTCCCCTGTAAACCAGCAGGGCCTACAGCAATGAAAGTGCAGGTGAGAGCCCCAGTCAAGGGCAGAAATATTCTGTCTGGAAGGAACAAGGGTTCTTGGGCACAGCTCTTCCAGGAGGGGCTGCCATGGAGGAAGGCAGCTCAGAGCACTGCCTTGCAGCCAGTGTGATCTTGCCAGGCTTATTTCTTTGCAACCTTCGATTTCTTTGTATTTGCACTCTTGTCTCTCTCTCTCTCTCTTTTTTTTTTTTTTCAGTAGCAGGGATCGAATTCAGGGCCTTGCACTTGCCAAGCAAGCATGGTGCCACTGAGCTGCATCCCTAGCCTAGGGTTTTGCACTCTTATCCAAAATATATCCACTCTTTTTTGCTTTTGAAAGTCTCCCTTGTATTCAGGCTGGTCTTGAACTCACTATATATCCCAGGCTGGCCTCGGACTCTTGGTGATCCTCCTGACTCAGCCTCCCCAGTGCTGTGATTGCAGGCGTGCACCATCACACCTGACCAACACATATCCACACTGATGAAGGGCAAAAATGTTTTCTTCTTCCAGTTCTTGGGAAAAATTAGCACTTTGGGGAGACAGAGTGTCCTGCGGCTTTCTGTCCTGGCCTCCAGCACTCGCCTTGGGCTCACACACTGAGTGTGGAAAGCAGAGGCGACAGAGAACAGCCTGGAACCGGGGGCACAGAGCCACATCGGGGTCCTGGCTGGGGTCACGCTGACCAGTGCTGACTGCCTGGCTTCTGCGTGCCTTGGCTCCATCCCAGATCAGCCTGTGTGGTCTGTTTGTGCTGGGGTGGGAGTTGGGGCTGGCATACGTTCACCACCCAGGACAGAGGCAAAGAGAAGAACCCCAGTCCAGAGCAGGCCACGAGCAAGGATCACCCTCTAGAGGCAGGAAAGAGCACGACACCCACAAAAGGTTAAAGGGGCTAGGAGCTTGGCCAAGGTATATGGAAGTCACGCTGGTCAATGCCGGGTTAGAGAGCAGTTACATTAAGATTAAGAACTGTGTTCAGCCAGAGGTGGTGGTGCACACCTGTAATCCCAGCACATGGAAGGCTGAGGCAGGAAGATTCCCATGAGTTCAAGGCTAGCCTAGACTAGTAGCAAGACCCTCAAAAGGTTAAAAAAGAAGCGGTGTTCACTGCTCAGGAAACTTTTCCATAATCACATGTGAATCACTTTGCATATTATTTCCTTTTTCTATAACTTTCATCTTTCTCTTCAGCTTTCTGTAAAGTTTCCCTTTAAAGATGCTAACCAGTCCCAAAAGTCCTGGGGAAAACAGCATGAAATGTCGCTGCACGCTTGTGGCTAAGAACGAAGGAAGGAGGAGATGCTGGGCCCCTCCTGTGTCGTGTGTCCTATGGGCAAGGACACTGAACAGAGCACTGCAGACCCCCACACCCTCCCCACCCCAGGAGGCCGAGGCAGGACTCTACCTTGGGTGGGTCCCCTCCAGCCTTCGTCCAGAGTCGGGGCCGTGGTTAGCAGGGCCAGCTCCTCCTCGGCCAGGTGCTTGTACCTGACGAAGTAGATGAGGTCCTGCACGTCGTCCAGCACCGCATACTCCTCCAGCACGCTGCGTTCCTTCACCCCCAGCTCTCTGCTCCCCGTCATGCGGGCATCGAGCATCCTCTCTGCTGCGCTCAGGATCTGCGCCTCAGAGGCCCGGAAGGCCTTGTCCAGCACCTTGCCCACGTTGTAGGGCAGGCTCTCCTGCTGTGCCACCTTCAGCTTCGCGGCCATGTCCTGCAGCATAGCTTCCAGCTCGTGGGCGTCCAGGTATTTGAGGAAGCGCTGCAAGGCCTGCTGCTCCTTGAAGAAGCTGCGGATGATGGGCCCGTCCTCCCCGAGCACAGCATGTGGGCTCTGCTGGGACAGGTCATCTCCGGGCTCCGCAGAGGCAGGCCCTGGGCTCCCCATGTCCCCGGCCTCCCCCACAGGCTTCTCCAATGGCCCTGAGCTGTCCCCGCCTGGTCCCACACCCACCAGGTCTTCCTTCTGCAGCGCCTCACCTGGCCTCGGAGAGGGGGCCTTCTCTTCACCCTTGGGGGCACTCTCCGGGTCCCATGGATCTTCATCCTCTTCCCCCACCACAGCACTGCCCAGGCCCCTGACTGGCCCAGCTCCCTCTCTCCCTTCAGTAGCATTTTGTTTTTCAATCACAAGAATCACACTCGGTTCCTGCTGGTTTTCTTGGGCTCCTGGATCGGGATGAATGGTCCCTAAATGTGCCTCTTCAGAACCTCCTGGCATAACAAGCGGCCTCCTGTCCCTGATTTCCGTGCGGATTTCTTGAGAACGTTTGGCACCGACAGCATTTTCATCTTCTAGCAGCTCTTCTGGGAGCTCCTCATCATCCTCCAGCTCCCCTTCCTCCTCTTCCTCCTTCTGTTCCTCCTCTTCATCCTCTGTCTCCTCGGCAGGGGAACCTGGGGCAGCCGTACCATCAGGTGGCTCCCTCTCTTCTGCGCCCTGCTCTGCCCGGTGCAGAGCCAAATCTGACTCCGTTTCAGCGGCTGGCTCCCCGAGGGCAGCACCTCTCTGGTGGAACTGGGAAAGACCTTCTCCCAGAGCGGGGACCTCCTCTTCTGGCTTTCCTGCCGAACTCCCTCCCTCTGGAGGAGAGAACTGAGGTTGGTCTGGGGTTTCCAGACCCAGTTCCTCTTTGTGCTCCCCGTGTCGGTGCTGCACTGGAAGCGGGAGCAGGTCGGGCACCTGCACATGGTCTCCGGTTGTGTTGTGTGGCTCATCTCCAGGTGGCACGGCGCCAGAGGACTCCTGCTCTTGTACCCCCTTAGTCTCCTCGGTCGCCCGACGTCCCGCGGCTTTCCACACCGAGCTGTTCTCTGAGCCACCAGCTGCCATCCTGGCTCCGGGTCCGCCCTCCCGGAGCGGATCTTCTGCAGTGTGGACAGCTGCTTCCTGCAGGCCACTATCTGTGTTCTCCAAGGCTGGCCGATGGGTGTCTTTACCCTCACCAGCAAGAGGCAGAGAGCTCGGCCTGCGGCTCAAAGGAGAGCTGTGTGCACCTGTCCCTCCGTGCTGTGTGGCCTCTGGCGGGGATTCACCTGGTGCCCGGTCTGCCTCTGGGTCCTCAACGTCCCTGCCATTTTCCTCACTGTCAAGTTCTGTGTCCATTCCTGAGTCATTGTCATCAGTTGTTTTAAAGACTTCTACAAAAAAATCATCTACATTGTCAGAGTCAAAATACTCGGCTGCTTGTGGTGGCCTCCCCCGTGTGGCCTCTGGGCCACCGGCATTGTCGCCACCCTTTCGCTCCTCCGAGTCCGGCATGCCCATCTTGCCATCGCCTCCTGTGACGATGGAGAACAGAGTGCCCCCCCAGTCGGTCAACATGTCTCCATGGTCAGTTCCGGTGCCAGGGGCTGGGGCTGCTGCAGCACTGCCCTGCTCCTCTGAGCCCGGCCCCACCTCGGCCAAGGATTTCTGCAGCCTGGGCTCTGACGCTGGCCCCAGCTCTTCTGCATCAGCGAAGGCCAGCAACGGCAGCTCATCCAGGTCCCCTCCACCCCCCTCCCTCTCCCTGTCCCCCGCGGAGTCCAAGTCATCATCCGCAGAGGTCACCAGTCCTGTGGTCTCATCGTCCGACACTATGGCATCCACAGTGGAGCTGAACTTGGTTTTCAAGGGAGTCCTTTCCTTCCTCAGGAGCTGGTGAGTGTCCATCTTCTGCTCCCCAGGGGCCTGAGGACCAGTGTTCGTCCTGTTGCTTTCACTCTCTTGCAGCATTTCTTCAGTCACCTCAGAGGACAGCACTTCAGCCTGGGTGCCTGGCTCGGCATGTGGCTGCTGCTCCCTCGGGCCCTGGGTGCCTCCCTCTGCCGCACCATGCACAGGCCAGGCTGTAGGCCCACCTCCAGCAGAGCCTCCGGGGGGCTGCTCTGCACGCGGAGGCTCTTTCTCTGCAGCTTTTGCAGCATCTTCAGTTGCAGAATCGTACAGTTCCAAAAACCCTAAGAGGTCTTCTACATTATAGTTATCAAATTCATCTCTTTCCCCATTGAAACAGACAAAGTCCGTCTCCTGGAAGGGAAAAGGAGACATTAGTGTAACAGTGACCTCACATCGCAGAGCAGCTCTTACCTGTGCCATGACAGGCAGAATCCCACACTGGCCCCTGGCTCTAGGGAGCTTGGGCGACCTTGGCCATGACTCTCCCTGGGCAGTTGGTGACAGGAGGCCAGACCCACTGTCACCCCAGTCACCCCAGTCACCCCCTTCCTTCCCTGCATCCTCCCGCAGTTCACTCAGTGGCTGGTGACTTGGCTCAGCCTGAAGTTTCTGTCTGGGACCTGCTGCAGGGAAAGGAACTTCTGTGTCCCTCCATGCCACCAAGTCCACAGGGACCGTGTCCCTCAGGTCAGGCCCCAGGCAGTTGGACCAGTCTGCAGCTGAGTGAATCACCCTCATTCTACACTGCAGTGCCTCAAAGCCAGTATTTTACTGTTTCCTAAAGCATGGGCCATGTTTTCCAAAAAGCATAATGAATAAAAAATGGCAACATCTTGGTCTTCATCTGCCTCACTCCTGGTCTCTCATTTTGCCTAGCACAGATGGAAGAAAGTGGGGTGTTGATTATTGGGTTCCCCGGCTCCTCACAGCCACACCTCATAACAGCTTGCCCAGGAGAAGCACGGAAACCCTGTGCCCTCACACTGTGCTGTTCTGCTCTGGTACAGACAGGCAGCTGCACCTGGAGGTTGGCTCAGCCTGCATGGGCATTGGTGGGGATTCTCCTTGGATGTTGAGGAAGACAGACCAGCATAATAAGTATCTTAGGGAGAAATGGGGTGTGGGAAGTAGGAATTTAAAGGCACAAAGAATGACATCAAGGGCTTCCCACTTTGCTATGTGAACACAGGACTCAGCAAGTGTGTACCTCACTCTAGGTCAGGGTTCCAGACAGCTGTCTGCCTTCAGGACTGTCTGTGGATCTGTATTCTTCCTCTTCTCCACTAGGAAGCAAACTGCCATCAATTGAGACTATTTTCCACCTCCTAGCTGAGCCTTCAAGTATTCTGGGGAAACCTGTCCAGCACAGCACAGGCAGCTGACTTCCTCTTCCCCTCACATGATGCCAAGGCAGAGTCCCAAGCAGGTACGGTCCCTGTGGCCAGCTGTCTCACACTTCAGTCCCTGGCCATCTCTTACCGATAAGGAAGAGGCAAGAAGAGGACTCCTGGGCCCCTGAGATCCTCGTGGAATTCTGAGCCTGGCAACAGCTCTGACTTTATCTAGTCTGCTGCCCACTTCATCTCAGAACTACCCTCACCCACCGCTCATGTGCACTGCAGCCACACCAGGGGCTGCCCAAACATGGTTCAGCGAAGGTGGACACCAATTACTGCAACCGCAACCTCCAGAAAGTAATGGGCTGGAGTGGGGATTCCAGGACACAGAACCCTGTGAAGTCAGACCCACAGCTGGGGCACAAGTGTGCAGTGGGTGCCTGATTACTATCAGACAGGGCCCAAGACCAGCTCCACAGGTTCTCTTCACCAAATCTGTAACATAAAGAAGGCCCTCACCTCAGGGCCCAAGAAGAAGCCCCTCGCAAGTCTGTATTTCTATCCAGTACATAAATTAGAGTTTGATTAATTTATCCTTATCTTTACTATACTTAAAATGTCTAATTGTGTTCAATGAGTAGTTTCCAAATTGGGATACCTACTACTCCTTGTATTTATAAAATGAAATTATTTATCCTTTAAATTTAATAACTGGGCACAAAGGTATTAAATTCTTAACTTGTCACACATAAGACAGCAAAGAAAAACCCTGTACATGCATATCCAGCCCGCTAGTGGAACATCTGCTTCATGTATTGCTAACAAGCAGTTATGGTATGATCTCCTGCAAATGCTTTTCAAACCTTGCTCATTTTGCAGTAGTCTGATTCCATATTAAAATCTGATATACAAATATTAGATTTTCTCCCCCAACTAAAACAGACTTGCAAAAACAATTAAGTGAATATAAAACTAATAAATTTATGAGCCAATTTGTAACTGAGAACAAAACAGAAATCCACAACTTACATCTGCTGGAACCTGTAGCTCCTCTTTGGTATATTCATAGTCTATCCTGACCAAATCCTTTGGGAAATACCCAAAAGTACTCCCAACCTGTATGAAAAAATGGGCAACAGGGCCAGTGTCAATCAGATTCTATGTGAGGAATATAAATGAGACACTTCCTTAGAAGTGACAGGAAATAGGAGAGTAGGTAGATATAACCAAGAGAGACAATTGCTACTATTATTATTATACTGAGACTATATTCCAATAAAATTAAGTGCAGAATACTGTTAAACCAACAGTTCTAAAATCAATGAAATTTTTTCTATATTCAGCTTAATTCTAATCACAGAACACATAGTTAGATTTTATAAGAAAATAAAAGCTCTGCATAAGAGATTACTGTATATTACATGATTAAAACTATGTGAATCAAAGCTTGTTAGAAACACAACCTCAAATAATCTCTAACAGGGATTTACCTGAACATTTCACAGAACTGCTCATAAACCAGCATATAAATCTTTCCTGAACCAACACACAGCAGCTGTTCAGCTAACAAGTAAAAAGAGAACGTTTGAAATGTATGACCACTACATCAAATGGCATATACTGATAATATGTACTATCCTAGCTTTTTAAGAAGCTACTAGCAAACAGGGAGAACATAAAATTACAATGTAATGCATATTTATCCACATGCCAAGCTTCAGTTCCATGCAGAATAAATCCTGTGTAGAACAGAAGAATCCCATTCATTTTTTACACCAACAGGCAGGCTATGGAGCAGAAGTGCCCCTGTCTAAAGTGCCCCTGACAAACACTCCTGTACCAGCTGCCACCTGAGAGGGAGCTGCAGGCCTTTCCCATCATTAAAGAAGACCAACGCGCAAACCAAAAGCACTAAAAGAAGCAAAGGACACCTTATCTCTAATCCGAAATATGCCGCGAGTGTTCCTGCTCCGGAGCCCATCTGGGAGCCAGGAATAGTAGAGAACTGCCATGAAGATTAGATAAGGCAGGAAATTAAAAGCTGCCTTATTGGCAGATAAGTCTGAAACTACAGGAAACCAAAAAAGACTCCAGAATCAAAACTAAGAAACAGAAATGAGAAACATTTTCAAAACCTAGCAAATGAGAATCATTACCCTAGGATACAGACCATGAGATGAGAAGGGAGCCTGAGGGGAGACTCCGCTCCCTTCTGGGGAAAATTCTATTAAGGCCAAATCTGGAAAAGGGAAAGAAACCAGAGATACATAGAGAAAGGAAAGAATGCATCTTAGCTTAATCTTTGCCATCTGAGGCCTCGGGTTATATAAAGCTCCGTGATTATACATGGGCTGGCATCCCATTTCTTCCAATCTGACCAAAAAAAAAAAAAAAAAAAAAAAAAAAAAAAAAAAAAAAAAAAAAAAAAAAAAAAAAGGTGCAGAACCCTGGGAGCTCATGACGGAAGGATTTCATGTCTAATTTTGCTTCCATGCACATCCCTGCCAAGGCCTTGCTGATTTGACAGGGTGGGGGGTGCTGCTACTGAGAGAACAGATTCACATGTGGTCCTCTCAGAGCAAATGTAAGGAAACACTAAGAAGGGCGACAGGGAGATGGAGCCCTTCCCTTCTGCAGTCTGGGCTCCAGCAGCTCTGCCAGGACTCAGGCTGCAGGTGTGCCCCCAATCCCTGGGCCAGGCCTGTGGGTAAGCAGGTTCTGAAAGCAGGCAGGACCAGCACTGCGACCCAGGAAGAAGGTTTCCACAGTTGAACATAGTCATGGGCCTAAATGTGGCAGGAGGAAAATGTAAGTCCAGCTCCTATACCCAAAAGCTGAAGGATGAGGAGGGGAGAAGGAAACTAACTGCTAAATGAAAATGAAGTGTCAGTGAATGGAAAAACAGTTCCCAGAACCATATTATCAGGACACGTGTCTGAGAAATGGCTGCACCTGACCAACTGATATGTTGAGATTCTTCCCAAGGACTCTGCTGGACAGCAAAATGATCTGATTTTTATTGTGGAGCTTTCTCCAGCCTGATATTCTGCTGCTAGTTTGGTGTTTTACTGAGGGTGAAAACTTGCACAGTTGGAATAGAGAGTGTCTCTAAGGTGGAGCCATCCCAAGGACATCAAGCACCCTTGCTGCTAGATAAACAGAAGTAGACAAAGAATCCACAGATCACACTTTGTAAAACAAAAGGCCAAGATGCATGAGACCCTCAGTCAGGTCGCTCCTTGTGAACCCCTCATTAAAGCCATCAAAGCACAATGTGGTCACTGAATGCCAGGTCTGGTAGCAGCACACCAACTGGGGGCCCCACCGGCATGAAATGGCTGAAAGACAAGCAAAAGGTGACCCAGAAATTGTAATAAAAAACAGACAGGGAAGCACATGGTGAACATGACACTTTGCTTTCTTACAGAGAGAATGATAACAGCACAGATGATTGGGTACCAGCTCCCAGAGCTGACACTTTTTACAAGCAGAAATGACACAGAAGAAGGAAGGGAAATAAAAGTCAACTTAAAACTTGCATGCGAGCCACTACATCACCCAGTTTACAGGATTACATCTACTGCCCATGAATCCTTCTTTTTTGAAGGAAGCAATGACGTTAAGACTTTTCACCATTTCAACCTTTCTTTTGTCTGCAGCACCCCAAAACTTGATGCTGAAGGGTAACAGCCAGAATCAGTTCCATTCTATTTCCGAAACCTCTAGTAAGTCCCTATGCTGGGCCAGGACCAGGCCGCTGGGAGCACCGGGCCGTCTTCTGTTTTCCTCCTGGCAGAGTCAATGAA